AGATCCTGAGATAATCCGATTCTCCTTCAGGATGACATTGTGGAGAGAGGAAAGCACTGCTTTAAAAACGAGAAGATGTTTTCTGAAATGTTTGGGGGGGAAACAAGACAAATTAGCCATTAAAAATTAATTTGGGAAATTACGACGCTTTGCTAATGGAGGCCACTTCGCACTCCCGATTCCCGCTTCTTCGGAGGCAGAAGCAAGGGTGGCCATTTCAAGCATGTCTTCTTCCATTTCATCAAAGCCTGGAAAGACGGAGATGAGTGTGTGCATGTGTTTCTGCTCGGCATCGATTCGCGCCCTGGCTTGGGATCCAAACCAAGCATGGAAGGTGATGGATGAACAGGAGATGCTGCATTAGCTGGTCTTGTCAACTTGTCACAGGCTGACCCTTTAAGTCCCATCCCACCCCTCACCCCCTGGCACAGCAGCAGCCTTTATTTTTTTAATGCATTTCTGTTACTTAGTACAATGTCATTCCTGGTTGTCTAAAGCTCCTGTCTTCTTATTGCTTGTTCAGACCTTCCCAATTCACAGGGCACAAGGCAGAGCCATCCACCTTCCTTCCCTCCAAACCTCACAGAGCTGCAATTCCCAAAGGAGTTTAACAATGGATCCCTCTTTCCAGGGAACTGTAGCTCTGTGAGGGGAACAGTGGTCTGCTGACAACTCTCAGCATGTTTAACAAACTACAATTCCCAGGATTATTTGGGGGAAACCCTGAGTGTGTAAAGTGGCAGGCTACTGCTTTAAACGTAAGGGGTGGATGTGACCACAGACTCAAAACCCTCAGTCCACCTCTGGCTTTGTCAGAGCAAAGGGCTCGCTCGGAGCTGACCGTGGTGCTGCAATTGCTGCCTTGCTGTGGTAAGTGGGCTCCTTTGCCAAACCAGACACCAGTGCACAAAAACAAAATTCCTTGGCTCAGAATGTGCTCCGAGGCACCCAGTTCTTAACTGTATCTTCATGTCTTTTGCAAACTGGCTCTGGTGCGTAGCTCTTAGGGTTCTAGTATAAGAGCAAAGTAGACCTGATGAGCCTAAAGTCTGCTCACCTCTTTTATATATTGAAAAGAGCAAAGCCCACTTGTAGCAACTGCATCAGGAACCAGCCTCGCTTATGCTCACCTGACTGCAAACTGCGTCCTCCGCACAATTGCTGCAAATGTTTCCCCAGCTCTCATTATTTTCAGAAAAGCTTCTAGACGCAGGACCAAGTTTGTGGAGTGAAGAGGGAGGGAAGGTGATTTTCTCAGAGAGCTTGGATGTCTTACAGAGGAATCCTCAGAAGAGCCCAATTTCCTGCCAATCTGTTCTCTCAGCAGCCCCTCAGTACATTGCTGGCTGGGCAGAGCAGCGTCTTTAGCATTCCACATTTGTTATGATTCCATGTTTTCAGTTGAAACGCCAGGCTGAACCCCACCGCCATCAACTCCCAACACCCATTTTCAATTAAAGATGCAAAATACATTGTCCAGGACTGTCTGTCCTGGACTGAAAAAACAGAATGGATGTTGGTGTGCTTGTTAGGTATCCAGTTTCACAGAACAAATTTGAACACCAGCTTGACACCACCACCCGTATCCATTTTCCTGGAGGCTGGGAAAGGTGCAATGCAGGCTGTGACATGATTTCATGAGCACTGAGATCACAATCTGACTTGGTGCAAATTGATGGCATTAATCTTTGGTTTAAGTTGATTCCCAAAGTACCCAGTGTGGGAACAGAGTGGAGAAAAGATGTGAAGCACATAGTTGTGCAATATATTTTGCAGAAAAGCAGGGTTATTTGCTCATTACTTATAACACAACACCTTTATCTTATATTTATAAAACAATATATTCAGCGAGACCTCTTGATCATTGCCGTTTGCTTCTGGTAATACTTCTGGTACTGGAGAACCTTTCTGCTGAAAATATCCGGAGCAGCTTTCACAACCAGATGCCTTCCAGATGTTTCAGGCTGCCACCCACCATCAGGCCCAGCCACCACCACCATATGATGCTGAAGCTGAGACAAGCAGAGGCTGGTGGGAGTTGTAGTCCAAAAACATCTAAGGGCGCACCAGGTTGGAAACACTGCTTTAGAGGCCCTCCTGAGATGAATGAACATTGTGCAACTGCAAGTCTTAACAGCAAATTCTTTTATGCAACCAATGACATTTTAAAAGTTCATACAGTAACCACCCTATTCAGAGATCTCATAGGATTTGCCAAACGGGTAGAGTCAGTGTTCTCATGAGAGAGATGTAAAGATGTCAACATTTCCAAACATAAATACTGAGCTGGGCTGTCCTTGAGAGATTTGTCCCACCACCAAGCACACAATCTCTCCTGTGGGCATCATCTGCCCAGGGAATAGCTGTGTTTCCTCAACATCTTATGGCATCGCTGTGAAGGACAATCCCGTTAGAACATGTCCAGTGTCTACAAAGCTTAAACCTGAAGACAAATGGGCAATGAAATGTTTGGTGGCTATGCTCTGCCACCACAATTGGAGGCAGGACTGCTTCTGAATACCAGTTGCCAAAAACCACAGGGTGCGTGGGAAATGCTGCTCTTCTGCCTGAATCCTGCTTATGGGTCTCCCACTGAAGAAGCTGGTTGGCCACAATGAGAACAGGAGGCTGGATGAGATGGGCCACTGGCACAATCCAGCAGGCTCTGCTTAGGTTCTCATGAAAACCAACAAGGGACAGATGTGACCAGTCTCAGAGGTCAGTGCCCAGCAGATGCTACTACAAGCACCCCAAACAGCAGAATGCCAAACCTGGGGGGATACATTTTCAGAAGGAAAAAGCAATGTAGGTCAGTCACAAGCCGTGCCATAGAGCCTTCTCCATCTCAAAACAGACATTCCTTCAGTCATGTCTCAGGGTAGAAACTATTTCTAGCTTCTGCTGACGCACCATGCCGGGCATGTGAGCAAAATCCATTAGGCAAATAGTGGCTCTCTGTGCAGCTATGCCACCCAAGGAGGTAGTCCAAGGTGTGCGCCTGCCAGAGAGCTCCCTTGGCCTCTACAAAATGGCAATCGGGCAGATGTGCAACTGAAACGAAAGCAACAAGCTCAGAGCAGGACCAGTTTCCAAAGGGCACAGTAGACTTATCTCCCTCCTGGGGATGGAAGCAGAATCAGCTGATTCCGGGAACAGATGTGGCGATGTGCCTCACAGCTTTGAATCAACGGATGGAGCTGGCAGCCAGTGGAACAGCTTTCCCTTGCATCTGCGTGTGGGTGTTTCCTCTGACTAATTGTATCACTAATTCCCAAACTGACACAGAAATAACCAAGCCTGGCTGGTTCAGATCAAGTCCATCACCTTGACTCCAACAATGGCAAATCCTTCCAGGTATCTTGTAAACAAGGCATGAAATCAAACACACACATGCAAACACACACACACACACACACTTACAGAGGCTCATTGCTTCTAAACCAGGAGGTTCTGTTTAGAGGTGATGGCTCATATTGATCAACCTACCCTCCTCAATTGTCATGGACTGGCTAGATACCCAGGAATGGTGGGAGGCGCCAGCTAGGGAACCCCAAAGAGAACCTGCAGGGAAAGAAGACTCAGAGCCAGGTGGCTGGTGGTGGGATGATGATGAGCGGCCAGAGGGAAAATACCATTCGGAAGGGGAGCTGGTCACAGTCAAGACCCCCTGGCTTCTTCACCAGCCAGATTCATCTCTGCCTCTTGGCCCCTTCTCCTCTCCAGCCTCTCTTCTGGACTGCTCTCTGCCATAGCCTCTTCCTGCTCACTAAACCCTATTGCCTCTTCAGCTTCAGAGACCTCCTTCTCCCAGTCTGTTCCCTCTTCTCCCTCTGGCATGAAGCAGAAGGAGCAAAGACAGGTACGGCAATGGAGCATCAGATTTATTCCACTCTTCCGTCAAGGCGGCGAGGGAAGGCTCCCCAAACAGCTTGCAAATGTCAGTTGAAAAGACATGACACAAAAGGAAAAGGAATTGGATGAGTGGAGGAGAAAAGCAAACTCAGGCACTATTTTGTAGTTACAGAATTCTTGTAATGGCCAGCTAGGATGGAAAGATTTCAAGTATAAGAGGCACCAAAAGTTGATGATCTGCAGTTGCATCTCTTCCCTGCTCTCCAGCAGCCTGATGGAACAACTGTTCCCTTTTGTCTAATAACCTCTTTCAAAGCCACATAAACACCATTGGCATCAGCAATAAATAGTAAAGAGTTTGCAGTACTTAGGAAATAAGTGGTTTTGGTAGGTTGGGAAAACAAGATTTATGGCATCTCCCCACCATAGAGTTTAACAGGCATAATGAGGTGAGACAAAGAACGTTGTCTATTTGAGAGAGGAAACCCTTTAAAAGAACTGCTCAAACTTCATTAGATTTGTGGTTATAATTTCCTTGTGTCCTTGCAATCACACTTCTAATCTGTAAATATTGGAAGAAAAGTACTTGCAAACAAAATGGAAGAGGAATTAGGGGAAGAGATCTCCAAGCTGCAATCCCAGTTTCATGCGGCAAACAGGCCTGTAAAATGGGCCCAAGGCTTTCTTCAGCAATGGCCTTGAAAGACAGCAGTTGTAAGATACCGTGTTAAACACCACCTTGGGTTTTTCTTCCTTTAATGTACCCACACAACTCTGAAAGATGCTGCTTTTGTTGTTATGAGGCCAGCACAGACTCTTGTGGAACTGAAAATCGTCTTTAAAAAATATTGGCAAAATATATGAAGACACCCAAGGGCAGTAAGCCGTAACAAGGTACCATTCCATGCACAAGTAATTACCGTATTTTTCGCTCTATAAGACGCACATTTTCCCCTCCAAAAATTAAGGGGAAATGTGTGTGCATCTTATGGAGCGAATGCAGGCTCCTTGGCTTCAGCAACGCGAAGCCTCCGAAGCGCAGTGGGAGCTCTGGAGGCTTCGTGTTGCTTTCGCTGAAGCCTGGAGAGCAAGAGGGGTCGGTGCGCACTGACCCCTCTCGCTCTCCAGGCTTCAGGGATAGCTGCCTGAAGCCTCCGGAGGCTTCAGGTTGCCTTCACTGAAGCCTGGAGAGCAAGACTCTCCTGGCTTCAGGGATAGCCGCCTGAAGCCTCCGGAGCACAGCGGGAACTCCCGCTGCTCTCCGGAGGCTTTGGGTTGCCTTCACTGAAGGCGAAGGCCATGTGGGAGAGGCAGAGCTGCGCAGCGCCCCTTCAGTGAAGCAGGAGGAGAAATGGAAGGGGCTCCATTTCTCCTGCTGCTTCACTGAAGGGGCACTGCGCAGATAGGGGGAGATTTTTTTTTCTTGTTCTCCCCCTCTAAAACAAGGTGCGTCCTATGGTCGGGTGCGTCCTATAGAGTGAAAAATACGGTAACTTGGGCTCTTTTGAGAATGGTGTGGAAGGAGGCACGGACAACGGACAGGGAAGTTGAAATGCTGCTTGCGATATATTGAAAAGGTGATGCCAGCCGTGGAGGGATGGCTATGGCAGCCTTCTGCAACCTAGTGCCCTCTAGAGATTCTGGACTGCAATTCCCATCAGCCCCTACATCATATGGCCATGCTGCCTAGGCCTGCTGGGAGTTGTAGTCCAAAACATCCAGGTGAAGTAAAGCTTGGCCTACAGTGCCCTCCACTCTAGGAGTTTTATGCCAAAGGGAACGTTGAGACACAAACTCTTCATTCAAGTCAGCTGTTTCCTGCAACGTGGAGGCTCTTTGCTGATTACTGGAATAATATCAAGCCAATTGGCGAGGGGGTGGGGGTGGAAACAGCAGCCTCACTTTAATCATTAAAGTGCTCTTTACGTAATGTCTAGAATGAGCTATTTTTCTGGGTCATATTTTAAGAGCCATGCACGGAGTCTTCAGTTTCGTTTCAGTAAGTTGCTCTACAGCCTGCCAGTGGTGATGTGCGCTTGGCACTCGTCAGAAACATGCTTGCTTGCTTTGGCTTTTGGGGTCCATTAGCCCATCTCACTGCACTTTAGCCAGTTCTGGGGGCGCTGCTGCCACCATTACTGATTGCTGCTTGTTGTATTGATTTTAATGAACTTGTATTTTAGTGGGCTGCAAACTGCCTCAATGTTGTTTTTTGGTGAGGATAGGCGGTTTATAATTTGCTTCAAATGGAATTAAAACTATTTTTTAAAGAAGAAGAAGAAGAATTTTATATACTGTATATTTAAAAATGGGGGGGGAATCTGAGCTACGTGGCACTCACAGGAGGTGCGAGAACTTTGGCTGCAGCAAAAGTCATTAGATTCCGGGGCTCCCCAACCCTCTTTGGGGTAGTCAAGGAAAAGCGCAGCAACGTAATTATTTGTTTAACAAAATTTATATACCGCTGGATTGCAATAAAAGCTCTAAGTGGTTTACAAGGAATAAGTACCTAAAATAAAGCTGCAGAAAGGTATGCAAAGGCAAGGCAGGTGAGAACACAGTTCTGGCCCCCATAATTATTCCAGCCGTTCCTGTCTCATCTGGGCTTTCAAGGTCGTCTTTGCAGTTGTTTTTGGACACCATGTTCACAAGCAAGCCAGTGTTTGGAGGCAAGGATATCAGAGGCCAGCAGCCCCCAAACAGGCAAGGAATCTTCTTACATGCCCAGCTCAAATCCTGTGGTGACAGATGATAAAGACTTACTTTGCATGCCAAAGGTCCCAGGTTAACCCCTGGATTCCCCAGGTAGGGCTGGGAATATCCCCTGCCCCAAACCCTGGAGAGCTACAGCCAGTCAGTGAAGACAATAGTGTGCTAAATGGACCAATGGTCTGACATTAGAAGGCAGATTTCTATATTCCTATGTTCTTTTGCTTGTCCCTCTAAGATAGAAGAAAGAAAGGAGGTGCTGTGAAGGAAGCCATGGTGGGTACCAAAAGCCAAAAGGGGCTTTTTTTAGGTGTGCTAGCAGTTTTGGAGAGTCATAGGGAGCTGCCTTAGATACTGAGATTGCTGGTTCACCAAGTACATCTACTGGCAACAGCAGATCTCTAGGGTTCCTGGCAGGAATCTTTCCCAGCCCGGCTTGGAGATTTCGCAACCTTCTGCATGCCCAACAGCTGGTCTACCACTGAGGGATATGGGCCCTTCTACAGCACCCTTCAACCAGAAGACCCCAGACCGCTTCCCAAACAAAACAATGTGATAGACGCAGAACACATCAATAAAAAGCACACAGCTGCATGGATACAACACTGCAATGATTAGAAGACAACATGAATCAGAGGAGGACCACAGCACTGTGGTGCAGTGCGAATCTGGTATGGTTTGCACCCTAGCACCTTCTGGTTAAAAGGATCTCATGTAGCAAGGCTGGAAAAGCCCTCCAAGAGCCACTCTCATTGCACATGACATTAGCATCCTCCAGATATTTTGGACTAGAACTCCCGTCAGTCCCAGACAATGGCACAGCGGTGTGTGTTTGGAAGAAGAAGAAGAAGAAGAAGAAGAAGAAGAAGAAGAAGAAGAAGAAGAGTAGTAGTTTGGATTTGATACCCCACTTTATCACTACCCGAAGGAGTCTCAAAGCGGCTAACATTCTCCTTTCCCTTCCTCCCCCACAACAAACACTCTGTGAGGTGAGTGAGGCTGAGAGACTTCAGAGAAGTGTGACTAGCCCAAGGTCACCCAGCAGCTGCATGTGGAGGAGCAGGGACGTGAACCTGGTTCCCCAGATTACGAGTCTACCGCTCTTAACCACTACACCACACTGGCTCTCCAGTTTGGAAGACCCTTTCTGAGCCCCTCGATCCAGGGCAGAGGAAACCGGCCAAGGGATTTCTCGGGTTTTTATGCTGTGGCCAGCACATTTCATATTTAAGCCAAATATTTAAGCCAACCTCAAGCCCCTCTCCTCCTGGGATCCTCAACCCCTTAAGATTAATTCCTGCCCTCTCCGTGTACCACCACCGCCCAGTCTATAAACCATGCCACATCTCCAAAGCCTCAAGTCCCTTGGAAAGCTGGAAACCCGCTTTGATCAATTTCACTGACCAGCCTGAAATGCTAAAATTGTGAATGGCGTCAGCCCCAAAGTGCTCCCTTTTCCTGGAACAGGGAGAGGAGGGGTTGCCTGCAGAAGCTTCTCAGCTCTCTGGACACTTTGGCTCGTTCTAGGCACTGTTTTCTGACATCGCTGCAAGCGAACCCAGCCAAGTTCACTCCTACACACACACACACACACACGGCACTCCTCAAAGGTCCACGTGGACTTGAGGGCTCAACAGATGCTTTTGCCCGCCCCCCACAATCACAGCAGTCACCTTCAGGGACATTTTCTACAGCAGCTGGAGATTGTGTGTGTGTGGAAAGGGGCAAAGAAAGCAAACAAGTAGTTTAGTAATAAATGCAAATGATTTTAATTGACTGCCGAGGCCAAAACTGCATTGCCAATTGAGTTTAATATGGATCATATTTAGATTTGTAATGAAAGTAATGTCTCTGGTGCTCACGGACCGTGCCGTGCGGCGAGAGGGTGACCTAGAGGGAAAGCTCAGAGTCCTGTACCAATTGAGGGGGAGGCCACAGATTTCGGAGAGCAATTCTCTCCCCTTTCTCCGAGGACCTTGGGAAGCTGGAAACACAGCACCCACCGAGTGGCTCCCCCCCCCCCCAAAAAAAGAAGGCAGCCCACACCTCCACACACCCCTGGGCCCTTCGGACAAAACTCCGCTCAGCCCTTCCCCTGCCGTGATGGTCACGGTATGGATTTCAGCAAGTCGCAAATCCAGCCAGACAATTAGTCCTCATCCCCTTGCCGCTAGCTCCAAATTGCCTTCCATATCAAATTCAGGCTCCTTGACTTCACCTCCAATGCTCTGCTCCTGCTACCTTGCTTTGCAGATAAACAGGACAGTGGCCGTCACGTCCTCCAACGTCGTAGGACGACAGAGGAAGAATTTGGGGCATCCTCTCCCCAGGGGGTGTCCGTCATGCGCCATCTTTATATTCTTTCCACAAGCTAGCAAAAAAAAAGCCCAGAAGCTCTACCCCCTTACCCCTAACCCACCCAAGGAAAGCGTTTTAACGACTGCTTGAGTTTATTTGCCGCCGTCAGAATGATTTCTTGCGGTGATTTTTATGAAATTATAGTTTTATCGAGTTTTTAAGAGCATGTTTAGCTTTTCGTGGCATCCGGAGCAAAATAATGAAAGGGTGGCCCATTTTAAAACAAAACACTGCATAAGCCATCTTTACAACAGCCAGCAATAGCTCTGGAAAAGCTGGAAGCCTGAGCAAGCAGGCTGGGAGTGGAACAGGGACTCAGGGGTGCAAAGGAAATGGGAGAGTCTGGCCTTGTGAGATTACCTTGCTCTCTGCCCAAGAAGCCAGGCTAAGAAAGTCCCAGAGAGCCTGGGGAAAATCCAGTGGGAGATACCTAAATCCCCTTTGTGTAAGATAAAGGTAAAGGGACCCCTGACCTTTAGGTCCAGTCGTGACCGACTCTGGGGTTGCGGCGCTCATCTCGGTTTATTGGCCGAGGGGGCCGGCGTACAGCTTCCGGGTCATGTGGCCAGCATGACTAAGCCGCCTCTGGCGAACCAGAGCAGCGCACAGAAGCGCTGTTTACCTTCCCGCCAGAGTGGTACCTATTTATCTATTTGCACTTTGATGTGCTTTCGAACTGCTAGGTAGGCAGGAGCAGGGACCAAGCAACGGGAGCTCACCCCATTGCGGAGATTCGAACCGCCAACCTTCTGATCAGCAAGTCCTAGGCTCTGTGGTTTAACCCACAGCGCCACCTGCGTCCCATCCCCTTTGTGTAGATAACTTTTGGCCACATGAAGAGGAGACACTGACGAGCTCTCTTTTCTGCCAACTAAGTTGCACAGCAGTGTGGGGATAGACATACACCCTGACAAACACTCCACCTATAGACTCCCTGGCCCCATCTTGAAAGGTTTACTTCATAGAATTGTAGAGTTGGAAGGGACCCCATGGGTCATCTAGCCCAACCCCCTGCAATGCAGGAATCTTTTGTCCAGTGTGGGGTTTGAAGCCATGACCCTGACAGCAAGAGTCTCATGCTCAAACGACTGAGCTCATTTTCCTCACAAGCACCTTTTTCTTTCCATTCAGGTATTGGACATTTGTTAATGTTATGTTTCCACGCAACACC